GGAGAAGGTGGGGGACGGAAAAGGAAGACAGAGATGAGTAGAAGGAGAGAGCGGACATGGAGGACAGCGATGTGGAAAGAAAGGACGACGATCATCGTCATCACTGTCATTATCGTTGTTTATCACTCTACAACTAAGCAGGATTGGCAGCGCGGACAGCAGCAACACCGCCGTGCATCGTCGTTGTCTCCTCACGATGACAGCGGTCGTCGTCATCATCATCATCATCATCATCATCATCATCTTCCCGATCATTGTCACCGCCATCTTCACCAACAGCGGCAGCACCGCCGTGCATATGAGCGGCATAGACCCCATCTCCTCCTCCCTCCTCCCTCCCCCACCGTCATCGTCATCCTCACGATCATTATAGTCACACACCTGTCGCACACGGTCGTCCTCGATCGCTTCACGATACTCCACATGCTCCTCCTCCGTGATCCTGCCAGTCCCTTCCCCCGCGCGCGACATAAGTTTTTTTTTTTTTTTTTCAAGAACAGACCGACGGCCTTGAGATATCATCATCGAAGTGACCGGCTATTTTTAGGATTCGAACTTAGGTCTGTATCTGGACAGTTCTTCCGTTCAAGGGTGTACCAACTGAACTATGCTCGTTGGAAACATGAGCCGGTCTTTTGGTGTATATGTGTCGGTGTGTGTGGGGGGGAGAGAAGAATGCAGAGAGAGAGAGAGAGAGAAGAGAAGAGAAGAGAGAAGGAGAGAGAGAGAGAGAGAGAGAGAGAGAGAGAGAGAGAGAGAGAGAGAGAGAGAGAGAAAGATAGAAAGAGAGATCCCCCGTCACCACCATCGGACGTCATTATCATCATCATCATCAGCACCACTGCCTGCGTCGAATCTCCCCCCATCCCCCCTTCCCACCATCATGACGATCGTCATCGTCATCATTATCATCATGGTCGTCATCAGCGTGGAAATGCCCCTCTCCTCCTCCTCACCATGACAGCGATCATCATCATCATCATCATCACTACAGCAGCAACATCGGCGTGCATTTGAGATCGCCATCATCACGATCATTATCGTCACCGACCTGTCGGACATGGTCGCTCCTCCTCCTCCTCCTCCCCGACTGTTGGCATCGCCGGTCTCTCATCTCGTTTGGTCCTCTCTCCCATCGTCCCTCCATCATCTCCTTCGCTCGCCGTCTCCGTTGATGACAATGTTTCGTTCCCCCAATCATCCTCAGCTATCTCGTTTACTCCCTGGCTCTTCTCGCTTCTCTCCTCCTCCTCCACGATAGCTCTCTCATTCTCTCTACACCGTGGAATCCCCCCGCAGATTCTCACTCAGCGTTCTCTCTCTCCTCCCCGTCGCTTCCCATCATGGACCTTCTCTTTCCTCTTTCCTCTTTCATTGTCGATGTGCCCACAACCAACCCAAGGATGAGAAACTGATTTGCAAGGGAAAGGAGGCAACGGAAAACAGATTTCGAACGGAGAGCCGGCAACAGGGAAAGAGCAGAAGGAACAGA